CTCTCTCTCTCTCTCTCTCTCTCTCTCTCTCTCTCTCTCTCTCTCTCTCTCGCTTAAATTCCTCTCTCCCTCATCCCTCTCCCCAACCCCTCTTCCCCTCGCCCTTTCTCTCGCTCTATCCCCCCTCCTCCTTTCTCACCGGACAGCAGTTATACAATTTTTTTGCTAATTATATTCACACCGCTGCAATGTCTTTGGATAAAAAAAGATCATTTTAGTTAATCACAGAAATAACATTTTAACAACACGAAGGAAAATATGTTGAGGATTTGCATTTTCTTTCTTTTTTTAAAAAAAAGTTTTTTTTGACACCGTTTAATTTTGGGCCTTGTCCTTTCTTTTGACTCTGCATAATGTAGTGGTGTAGGCTTATTACACGGTGTTTTTGCTTTTTTCAAAATGGGGCCGGGTACGACTCAGGCAAAGTCGCCTGAGCCCAGGAAACATGTCAAACAGGCTTGTAAAAAAAACGATGCATTATCATTCACACTCGAGTAACTGGTTTATCGTTCACGCCTCCATGCTACAATATAATACATTGCAAATTTTATATCTAGTAAGCTAGGCCCACAGAATTCTACACGTAAATGGCTAGGCCATATCGACCTGACACAGCATTATTATATGTGTGGATTATGTCAAATTTGGAGCTGTTGTTGGTATCGTTTCCGTAGTGTAGTGGTTATCACATCCGCCTAACACGCGGAAGGTCCTGGGTTCGAGCCCCAGCGGAAACATTTTTTTTTCTCACGTTTGAGTCATTGTTCATACTGCACAATAATATTTTTAAATGGCCTTACATGCAAAACATAGTCTCAACGTGTGTCTAACTTCTTTTTTGTTTTTCATTTAACTGCTGCAAAGCTTCAGTGTTCTTATTAGCGAAATTCCAAACCTTTAAAAAGTCAGGTTGCTTGTGCTTTTCCTACTATAGATTCTACAACCAAACTTTTGACAAACTATTGTTTAGGTAAGACATTTTGTACTACTGAAAAATTTCACGAATGTGTCTCTTCCTAATTCATCAAACGTAAAAAACAACTGATATCATCATTCAAAACTCGAAATAGAGGCTAGCCCGGTACAGTCGGTACAGTCGACTAAACACTCCTAGAGCTCATATACACGTTCGTCTCACCGTGGTTAAAACGGGATAAAAACAAATCGCTCTTTTGAATAATCTTTCTCATGGGTCTTTGCATGCGGGTCTAAACGTTAAGCGACCAACAGAATTTAAGCCCATTCATAAAAGTCAGTGCAAACTAATTTAAGGTTCTATACGCGTTTTCTTTGACGCCTTAGTTAAGCGGTGTCGCTGTCTCAAAATGAGCAATTAATTAAACTACTGTAAGTCATGTATTTTAGTGATCCTGTGTATACATCCAAAGGGCGGTTGTTTATATCTAGGGCCCAAAAAGAAAAACTTTTTTACTACTGGGTTAATATAATTTTTGGAAAAATATTTTTCTTTAGTAGCTGGCCTGCAGAAGTGTCATGCAACGTTTCGTGGGAGATCTAGGTAAATTCCTCTAGATCTGTGAGCTAGAATATTTTTTTACCCGGTCAAGCGAAAGTGACCAAGCTATAGTGCTATTGGTTCTTATCGCAGGCGGGAATATGGCCTATCATTTTAATTGCCCCCCTCCTCTTGATCATTGTCAATAACCTGTCAGATAATCTCCTCTCATTTTGTTCTCCTTTTCTTCTTTCCCCTCCCTTGTAGCGATATTCTTATTCATCACAAATTAAACTATTGAAATGCAAATATTATTACACACCTCTTACAGAATTAATTTGCGCATTGTTGATTTGATCAGTAAAATGCCTACTGAATTTGTGTTTGACACGTATCCAAGCTGTGACAAGTTTTTCCGCTGAAGTGTGAAATGAGTAATGGCTAAGGACATTATATCTAGATCTAGAACTTAAAATTTTTATTCAGGCCTATACTAAAGAATCCTTTGAAGATCTTATCTCCATGGGCACGGCTTATTCAACTTAATAATAATGTTCAATTATTGTTACTTCAGGCTAGGGCGAGAAGTATATCATAATCATAATCTCTCCTATAATCTACTACCTAGATATTTTGCAATGATGTGTGGGTGTGAAAGGCAAGAATACTATTTCGTTAATGTTGATAGTTGTTTTTTTCCTTTCTTTTAGAGCATTCGAGCAGACAAATGAAAATTTATTTAATGAGGGTGTCAAAACATGATCACTGCTGTTGCTGTTTCGGTCTGCTGATTCCTGCCCTTGTTACTGTTGCGATGTGCGGAATAATAGCGGAGGAAATTTTCAAAAAGTTGGAACGGGACTCAAAAGGTGAAGGTTAGTGACGAAATCGAAGGTCGTCACAGAAGAAAACACACTTTGCTTCCGGAGTCGACATCATCCCGGGGAACTTTACTTTCGTCGCAGCGCAGTGGAGCGCTTTACTGTTGGTTTTTTCTTATTACTTTTTAACCATCAGCTGGCTGCTCCAGGAGTTGTTGAGTGCACGAAACTCTACTTTTGCAGGTATGATTTTTCTCTTCTTTTCTGTGTCTCTAAGTAGATCTAGATCTAGATCTAGATCTATAGATCTAAGTGTTGTTTTCAACAGTATGACGGTAACTGTGATTTTCGTGTTTCGGCCTAATCAAGTCAACTTCAATTTGAAATTCTAATCTTTGTTTATTTACTCTTTGATTAAATTCTAACAGCTAGAAATCTAGATCTAGATCTAGATCTATATAGCACACCAGACCACCACTCCCCACACCAGACCCCGGATCTGTGAATAGCACAGTTTAGATCTCTAGATTCTAGAGGTTCTTTAGTTGAAATCTTGTTTAGCTTCACATTCTTCTTCAAAGTTCTTCAGTCTTCAATTCCAGTTCCAGATTTAGGACGTCTGTACTGTAAGATCAGCCTCTATGGTACTAGATTTTTAGATCTAGATCTAGATCTAGATTCTATGATCTTTGTCTTTGGTTCTAGATTAATCAAGTTTATTTATTATTAGCCTTTCTACTTTCTATAGTACATTTGCACAAAGGCCACCTAGATCTATATATATATTCCGTGAAAATAGTGCAGGCGAGTCTTGTGGCTATTCTCACCCGGTGCGCGTTCACCAAATTTTGCGTTCACCTTAAACCAC